GTGGAAAAACTCTAGATAATAACATAATCACATGATGGTTCTGCTTTACAAAATCAACTTCACAGAGGATGCGTATTGGCAAACGAGTGAAAGGTTAAAAGTTCAGTTTTACCTTCTCTGATAAGAATGTGCCCAGTAAAGAACCTCCTAAAACAGCAAGCTACACACCAAAAAGAAAAATAAAAGAAAAAGGGAAAAATAGGTTAGGCCCCCCACATATATATTACACACATGAGTGAGAAAACTTAATCCGATTCAAAAGGGAAAAAAGTTGATGTGAATTAAAACGATACAAATGCAAATAGTTGATTTGCAGAACCATGACTTTTAATAACTTCAAAGAGCACCTTCAGAAAGCCAATAGCTAAATAAATAAATTTGCACTTGTGACTGATGTAGTAAAAATATTGGATTAAATTATTTTACAATTAAAGAAGAATTACCAAAGTTGCAACACCATGACCAGCTAGTGCTCCTCCGATGACTCCAAGGGGTGAAGAGGCTGCAGCAAGTGCTGCATATGAAACAAAATATTGACTTATTAAGATAATTTTTTTAAAATTTTATAAAAGGGGGAATGTATCTACAAAATTGTGGGACCCAAGTGCCCATGTAATTGATCTAGACTTTCTCACCATCTCAAAATAACATTTTAAAGCAGTGTGCTGAGCTGGTAAATAGACCATAAATAAAATGTGAATTAAATAATCAACAACACATCAAAATTTAGATGCATTCACTTTCAAATTCCTATTACTAAGCCAGTTAATTTGTTCTTTAGAATATGAAATTTGGACACTTCCATTATCGTATGTAGTACTTGACTTTTACATGTTGCAATGAGCTAATTTTCTGTTCTTTTATTGGTAAGTGACAATATCGTCATTCAAATGCATCGGAAACTGAGCAACAAATCGACATATTAGCCATTCTCAGCACAAAATGCTAGCTCCATTCTTATCCAAAGAAGCTTCAAGTTTCGATACCCTAACTTGTACTCTCTCCAGAGCAACGGGAAAAGGAAAATAATAGTGCAGTCATCCATTAACTGTGATGAGCTGTTCATATATACAAGGAAACAAAAGAAGAACTAAATTATGAATTCACATTTAAGATGAACTCGGTTAGTGAACCAATTTTCATAATTTTGTATATTCATTTTAGAATATGAAGATTTGACCTCCATTTTCTTATCTAGTACTTGACTTTTACAATGTTGCAATGAGTTTGTTTTTGTTCTTTTATTAGCTATAGATTCATTAAATGCCAGCTCCATTGTCGTTATCCAAACAAGCTCTTTAATTTCAAGATATCCTGTTACTCTTCCTAGGCTAAAAGAAAAGGAAAATCAAAGTGTGATCTTTCATTAGGGGAAGACTATCACCGAACATTGAAACATATAACACGAAAGGATGGTTTCTTTATATAACAGTAACTTCACAACCAAGTATAAATAAAATCTAATAACACGCGATCTTGATCAACTCACCTATTGTAGAGAAAAATGATTTGTCTCCCCATTCAGCAACAAAAACTAAGAGGAACGTGCTAATGACAGTGCTAGCAGCAGCTAATATTCCAGCACCATTTCCTGAAAATTTGGAAACAGCTAGCTCTGCCTGATTTAATGAATATACGACAATAAGATTAACCCTTACAAAGGAAATGTGGCTTCAAAAGGAAAAAAAAGACGAAGTAAAAAAAATAAGTCTTGATATATCCATTGAAATTTGCATATGAACAAACTATAGTATTACCTCCCTTTGTTCATCTTCTGCCTTCAAACTGTCACTTGAGGTGGCATCAAGCAAAGTTGAAACTCCAAAATAAACCTGAAATTGCTTACATTTAATAGTTCTCCTGGAGAAGGATGCTTATAAGCAAGCATTGTAGTTCAGTTATTCTGGTTTAAGAATCAAAAGACAGAATTACCAAAAGGAGAACTGCAGCAATATCGTCAATGGGTAGATCAGTCTCACCAAACCTGTGATTAAAGACCATATCAGAGTGATCACAAAAAATTATAATACCATTACTTCTTACAAATTAGATAGGCAGATCCAAGTGAAATTTACTAGATAGGATGATTAAGAGCCTCAGGGACCCAAGAGTTATATGAATAACAACTAAGAAAACATTACAAAAGACTTATGTGTAGCATTTGGAAATTTCCCGCCGCAAATTATTTTAACCAAGCATAAATAACACATCCGCCCGAACTTTAGATGATAAAAAAAAAGATATATTATTGCTGTGACACAATTAATTTACCCCGTGAAAACATGTTTTATATAGAACAATTAACTAGATTATTCAATTCAAGGATTTCATCGTTATAGTAGGACACGCCCAAGATCCCTACTGAAATGCAAATCTCAAATACCTGAATGGTAGGATTTCATCGATGTAGTGAAAAGTTCGTCCAAGAACAACAGATATGATGGTCATTGCCCTGTAAGTAAGCAAATCTAAGTTTAAGGATATGGTGAAACTACACAATCAATAGTTCTTGATAATATAAATCACCTTTACAAGGCATGTGTGTGTGTTTGATAGAACCCAACAACCGTCATAATCACCATGATTGCAAGAAATGGGTTTGGCCAAAACACAATTACTTGATTGATAATATTTGCTATGCACTGCTATCAGCTTTCAAAAGTGTCACTTTGCCATGTGGGATTCATACTTAAACTAAAAGTCACAATTTGACCTTTTATTGCAATGTTCACACACTCTTTGCCAAGGTAGACTGGTAGAGGTTGGTTTCCCCTATTTACTTACATGGATGTCCAGTTGTCTTATCATGTAGTAACTTGACGTAACATATTGCAGATTCTTCTTAATACTTATGATAAAAAACACAAAATGGAAGTTGATTATGCAAAAGAACATCTGTATCACCATGCAGAAACAGAAAAACATACGCAAGTGCACCAAAGGTCCCAATAAAAACAACAGGAGCAGAATTCCTAGCCGCTAAAAGTGCCTGCAGAAAACAGCAAAAGTCATAATTATATGCGATCAAAGCATTCTATCTTTAACGTAATGCTAAAAACCTTATATACATATGGCAAGTTGTCAACTATGAGAGTTTATGTAGAATTAGGTTGATCCTTAAGTCATTACTCATTAGTATCTCTCTCCTTTAATCCTACCTTTTTCATTAGGATGGGACAAAATCTGATACATCAGTTGATAAGACAATTGGGAGACAAATAAGGAAGATGGAATTTCTGACTCTCTGATGTGTACGGTATACAAATAGTCACTTAGAAAGTTGAGTCAGGTAGAAAAGTGTGTTAATTAATAAACTGTTCCACTAGTCATGGGAAAAGCCTATGCAAGTGCACAGACTATGCACTTAGATGAATATGATACTCATTAACATATTAAGTTCACATTGTTCACCCATTAACATTTAAAAGAGTTTGGTACTCAAGCACTACCGGAGTATGAATCATTAAACCTTACCGCAATAAAGAAGGTCTTGTCCCCTAGTTCTGAGAAAAAGATCAGCAAGAATGCCTGCAACAAAAGGAAATGCATTCTTATATTTAGTTGTCAGAGGTGGATGTTAATAAATGGTTATACTGATTTTGGTAAGAGAGAAAGGAAGAAGGAAAATTTGTATCCTAGAAATCATCCAAAATTGGAAAGCTCAAAGGCACTGACATATAATTAAGTTATCAAAACCTAGCAGAAGATCGTGATCTCTAATTTAAGACTATGTGCCGACTAGAATTCAGGCTTCACTTACAATAACAAAAATGCCAGGTTACAGAAGTTAGAGGGAGATTTTCCTAACTGAAGCAAAACCTGTGCTAAGATCACCAAGGTCCCCCAGAAAAGGAATTGATGGTAAGCCACTAGCAAGATCAGATATAGCAAAAGCCGGTTCAGAGCCTTGAAGTGCAAGAAATCCAAACAGCAGAATAGCCTTCCAAAAATGAGAGAATGAATTATGAGCCATGATCTCTCTATCCATGTGACAATTTTTTTTAAAGTTCTTCTTTGGCAGTGCTTTATCTAAAGCAACACAATCGTCCTCAATGTCAATTGGGTCTGTGGTCACCCTGCATTTCTCGTAATTAAGGTAGTGTAGCTCCTGCGTTAAAATTAACATTCAATTAATGCTGCATTAGGAATTAAAAAAAAATTTTAAAAAGAAAAAAGAAAATGGTCTCAAATTTTCAGATAGGAGAAAAAGATTATGGGCTTAAAGATTCATTACCAGGTCATCTAAATTTCCAGAAGTTTGTAAAAGACGTCGAAACCATTCCTCACAGGTGTTTGCATTCCACTTACATGAATACCTGAAACACAAAAATCCTGCTTTCACTCAACAATTCAGGTGCTTCATTCTAACTCACCACTCTTCTAAGAACAACCCAGGAATAGAACAAGGCAAATTTTCCACTAAAACTTCATAATTTAAAGCAGCGTTAGGAAAAATAGAGATGGGAGTTCATGAATTGAACTCACCTCGAGGAAACGAAACTTGGGTTTGGAAGAGAAAGCTTCGAAGTGAGCTTCTTGGACCGTAATTTGAAAGGAAGCAAGTAACATGAGGAAGATGATGGCTTGAGAGGTTTAGGAAATGGTGAAGGCAGTGAATACGCCCCCAGAACGCTCTCTGAGAGCGTTATGCTTCGCATTCTGTCACACACACTCTCTCTCTGTGTGTGTCTGTGGAAGCTTTCGGCGTTGGGCTTGGAACTGTTGAGGCTCTGAGACTCAGAGTGGCAATAGAGATAAGCAATGGGAGGAGCTAAAAAGCGCCAAGACATCCATACCGTTTTATCTACTTTCCAAAACTCCATTTGACCCCTCCTATTTCATTGAAATTCAAATTTGATCTCCAACGACACGTCGTTTTATTCCTTTGAGAATGAGTTCCTTCACACGCTGTATTATACGACATCTCTTATAAACAAGGACAAACAAAACCAAGGACCGTCTCTCTGATTCAGTCTCTCTCTCTCTCTCTCTGAAGTTGAACTCTGAACCAGTGAGCTCGTGCAATTCGAAAATGAACAGGTAAGCATTTGCCCTTCTCTTCTTGTTGAATTAGAAAAACACAGCGTTTCAATCATGTGCCCTAGCCCCTGTTTATTTTGCCTTTTTCTATTTTGTGTTTTTCCTGATATGCAATTAGCTATGGAAATTAAGGTTCAAATTTGACAGATTAAGTTGCTTCCCTATGCATTTATTTCATAATTACTGTTTTGGTTTTGTCTAATGTGATTATCTGCTGATAACAGCTTGATCATCAGAAGAAAGCTTGCTGAACATATCAGGAGATTGAAATTTCCACAGAGGACTTTATGTACGGATGCAGCTCCTAAAGTTTCCAGCTCCCATAGTGTTCAATCCAGCAATGTAAATTCTTCATATTTTATTACATTGGGTTTTTTTTTGTTGCTTAGTTGAACCGGAAATAATTGTTCTTTTCCAATCAATTCATTTGCCCAGTAAAGTGATTAACTTGCAAGAATATTAATATTCTTCCATTGTTTAATTTGATGGTTTCTTTTGAAATCCCAGGACCATGTGGGGCAACAGAGTTTTCGCAATGAAGTCCACCCGTACGACATTGCTATTGTTGGAGGGGGCATGGTTGGCATGGCCCTTGCTTGTTCCTTGGGTACGTAGTGTATTGTGTTTCTTTTTGACAAAATCTAGTTTCAATTACTATTGGTATCATCTCATGACTTCTTGAATATTAGTTTGTAACCTGATGTAATTACTCTCTATGTGGTTTTTAAATCGAAAGCTGTTGAGGTCAGTCGAACAGTTAGAGTTGATTTTGTGATTTTGCATTAACTAGACATCTGCTCAAGATATTTTTGTAGGTTTTGCATACTAGATTCTCACCTTTCTATTGGATAGAATGGAAACTTAGCAACGTTGTCAATGGTGAAAAAAGTGATTAGGTGGTAGTGCACAGAAACGTGTATTCTGCTATGCTTTTGTTTCTCAACCAAAATCCATGAAATGTACTTAATAAATTCATTTTTTTAATAAGAGAAGATTTTTTGTTGAATTACTTTGTTCTGTAGCACATTTCTACACTGACATACTAAAATTTTCCATCTATTGTCTTATTCTGTGTTTTTTAGCTAGAATGCCACTGACCAAGCACTTGAAAGTTGCCATCATTGATAGCAATCCTGCGTTATTGAAGGGACTCTGCATCAAGAAAGAAGACCCTCCTGATCCAAGGGTCAGTACAGTAACACCTGCGACTATATCTCTCTTCAAAGGTATCAAGCTTGACATATATGTGATTCTTCTCAATGTACTGTAGCAACATCCGTTTCTCATGTTTTCGTTTGGAAATTGTGTTAAGAGAGCTAAAATCAGATTTCCCTGCACAAATCTGGTTAGCTTGTATTGCCCATTTGTAGGATGTAGCAACCATGGTTCTCTATTTTGATTGTAACCATTCCAGAAGTGTGACTTCTTTCTTGGGCAGAAACAAATGTTGAACTTTTTTTGGACTTTCAATAACAACAGTTGAATTTTGCAGATATTGGTGCTTGGAAATATGTTGAACAGCATCGACATGCATATTTTGATCAAATGCAGGTGATTGACTTTTCCAATTTCTTATAGCATATTTTCATCAACAGTAGTTCACATTTTGTTTATGTTGCGTATTGACTTTCAAGATCTGATTCAAATTGCTAATCCTTTAATGAATGAAATGAAAAATCATGATCTCAAAGCTCTACGCCTACCAAATTGTTCACTTGTCTGTCATTTAGTTTTTGTTTTAACTCATATATTTTCCCAACTCTGTTATGCGGGTTTATATTGTTTCTTACTCTTCAATGTTCCCTAAGAGCCATGCGTTCATATTTTTACTTCTTTCTTCTGAAAATGCACTGCAACATATTCCACCTCCCATTGACATGCTATTTTTCAATATGATTGATGATGCGATGCATTGAGGTTGAATTTAGAAAAATACTTATTTATTCCTTCATGATCTTTTGTAGGTTTGGGACTATACTGGCTTAGGGTATACAAAGTACAATGCAAGAGATGTGCATAAAGACATTCTAGGGTAAGAAGAAGTAGATTGTTATTATTTTTTTGGTAATTCATTTATTACTAGTAGAATATGATGCTGATTTTGTCTTATGATCAGGTGTGTAGTGGAGAATAAAGTACTGCACAGTTCTCTTTTGTCATGTATACAGGTATCTAGCATAGCGGAATGGTTAAATTTTTTATTTTGTTCCAAATAAAACACTTAATCACTCGTGACTCATGTAGTTTCTTAGTTCTGATTGTTGGTTTTTTTTCCCTAGTTTTTTGGTGGCTGTGCCTTCATATTTATTATTATAGATTTGCTTTTCCTTGAAGATATCTTTTCTTCACATTTTTTTTCCTGATGAAAAAATTCTTTAAACCACCTTGCATTCTTCTCTTAATACTCTCTGTTGTTTTTGGTAATTTTCATATACGGCATATAAGTCTCAATACTTTCTACAGCTAAGAAGGTTAAGCTTTGACAGGATACAGATTTCCAGAAGACTATCTACCCTTCCAGATTGTCTTCAATGACTTTACAGCCAAGAAATTTATCCATGGGGGTGGATAGCACATCATCGGGGTTGAATGAGCGGGGAAACTTAGCAAAGCTGGATCTGAGTGATGGCAACAGTCTGTATGCAAAGTTGGTGGTAATTTTCAGTTGCAATTGAAGAATTTGTATTCTCCTTTAATAGAAAGTAGGATGACAGAATTGTCTGTTAACGATGAGAAAGTTTAACATATCTCATTTGTAAGTTATTGATTGGCATCAAGTCACATAGAACTTATTGCAGGTTGGAGCTGATGGGTCCAAATCACGTGTTAGGGAGTTGGCAGGATTTAAGACAACTGGATGGAACTACTCACAGAATGCAATCATTTGTACTGTAGAACATAGTGTAGAAAATCGATGTGCATGGCAACGATTTCTACCTGCTGGGCCAATTGCACTTTTGCCAATAGGTGATAATTTCAGTAACATTGTTTGGACTATGAACCCAAAAGAAGCAACTGATCGTAAATCATTGGCTGAGGATGATTTTGTGAAAGATGTCAATTATGCGCTGGATTATGGATTTGGTCCTCATCCTAAGTCGAGCACCTTAGGAAGTGGAGGCATATTTTCTTGGTTTAAAACAGACGTGAATTTATCTCCTGATGAGTGCTTCAAAGTTCCACCGAAACTGGTGAAGTTGGCATCAGAAAGAATGGTGTTTCCGTTATCTTTGATGCATGCCAATGACTATGCGTCAAAGCATGTGGTTCTAATCGGCGATGCAGCACACACTGTTCACCCTTTGGCTGGGCAAGGAGTTAATCTGGGTTTTGGAGATGCATTTGCTCTTTCAAGAATCATTTCTGAGGGTATTGCAGTGGGAACAGACATTGCTGAGGTGGGTGATTTCCTTTTTAATTCTTTTTATGAAAAGTCAGTTATTGGTTGCCACAAAACATGCATAATGTAGTATCTTTATTTGTCTGAGGGGTGTGTTTGTTTACTTGAGAGACATGGAGATCTATTAGTAATCATTCAAATCATAAATAAAAATCCGGATTGTAATTGTAAAACGTGTAAAACTTTCACTATGAGATCAACATATTACAAAATCACAAGCTAGATGATTAATTGAATATACCCAATTAGTAACATGAAGGTGCTATCTAAGTCTAACACAACTTTTAAAAGAAAGAAAATAAACTAAGGCGAAACCATTGCTAGTGTGTCAGTTACAGAAATCTATAATCATGTTTCTCGAGTGGTATGCATGCATAGTAGTAAATGGAATATGAGCGATCAAGTGGATTCCATTTTGTTCGCCATGGTTGTTTTGAAGTGTGAATGTCTTGATACTTGGTTTTCTGTACCGAAAAAGCGGCTTAGTGTCACACTACATTCTGGTGACTATGGGTTGGTTTTTCTATATTTTCCTTTTGATAATCTGATGATGATGGTCGAATTGAATCATCTGATGAATGTAGTTCTAATCTTATGCAGGTACTGTTGTTGAAGAAATATGAAGCAGAGAGGAAATCAGCAAATGTCACAATGATGGCAATCCTGGATGGTTTCCAAAAGGCTTACTCGATTGATTTTGGACCTCTAAATATATTGCGGGCTGCTGCATTCAATGGAGCACGGTATATTCCACCCCTTAAAAGGAGTATTATTTCATATGCCTCAGGGGATCAAAGATTCCCAATTTTCTCTTGAGATAGATGTAAATATGGTGAGATATTTTCCTTTCATCAATCTTGTAAAAGAATAACTGCCCGTTCTGGTTAAAGATGGCTTATTTTGATCCCCTCTATTGTGGATGCGATGGCATGGTAGAATGTCCCTAAACTCAAACTCTGAAACATGTTCTTTGTAAGTAAAGCTTACAACTCAAAATCTGAATTCTCAAACCTCAGAAACTCAAATTCAACACACGTTCGTTAGCAAAGTAAACTAAAAACTCCAAAACAAGAGCCATAAACAATTTGGTTACCAACACTCGTACAGACTTATCTTGGCGCGAAACCGGAAGTACACTTCCCCCTCGAAAGCATCAGTCATCAAAGTGGCTATCCCTCGAGACATGAAGAAGTTGCCGGTACCGCCAATCATAAAAATAACCCTGGTTTTGTTCATCAGTGGATCAGCACCAGCAAAGTTGATGCTTCCCTCGTGTTTGGATGAGTTAAACACAAAGGAGAAGCCAAGCCAAGCAGTGAATATATCTTTCTTGTCGTACAAGTAGAAGCCTTGTGTGCGACCAACTGGGGTTGAGTGTAGATTATTGTCTAAGGTAATGGGGTCATCAAACACAACCATGTTCCCGAAATGGCTTTTTCCTGCCATTATGGTTCTGTTTCCCCAAGCTGGTGCTCCAACAATGGCTGATGTTGCATTCTTGGCATTCTTTCCGTTGTAAATAATGTCGTGGAAGTAAAACACCAGCTTCTTACACGGTTTGTGAGCCCGGACTCTCTTGCCGGGTTTGGCTGCGGAGGTGGACAAGAGGAGGAAGAAGAGGAGAAGAGTTGAAATTGGTTTTAGGGTAGCCATGCTTAGAGGATATATAGGAGAGAAATGTAGTTGCAAGTATAAGCTGTGACAAGTTGTGAATTGGCATGGTCTTAACTTAATCGCATTATATAAGTTTTTCTCAGAAAATTTCAGAGCTAGTTTAATTTTTTTTCTTTTGGTCTTTCATTAAAATAGTAATTAACTTGACTTGCACGCCATACTTAAGCACTGCTCAGATGGGAATGGTACTATATAGTATGAACCTACCTGGCTGTATTTTTTCTTGTGGTCACTTCATAACTACGACTAACATAATCATTTGGGGCACCACGAACATTTGGGACCATATATTGGTTAGAAAAATTATTTCTAACATGAGCATTTAGCGCAGTGCAACATAGCTTTAAGAAAAAGAAGAAAGAAAGCGAATTTTGTTTAGGGTGTTTAAAGTGAGTTTTGTTAACTGAATTACAAGGGCTTTTGATTTGGTTATGTGTAGTGCAAGATTTCAGTTGGTTCAATTATTTATAATGATCATATAGAAGGTAATTTGAACTCAAACTTATTGTGAAGGGAAGTCTGTTGTTTTCTCTATCCAATAGTAACTAGGGAGATCTATTTTCTCCCCCGATAATGTTAGAGACACCAACTTATTGCAACAATTTTTGGACACCAACTAATGTGGTAGTGTCTTATTTGATGTGAATAAATAAAATCCAAAGCCCGAACAAAGAAAAATAATGTAATATATTGGTGTCTAATGCAAATTTAGAAAGAAAATGGAAATCTAATTCTAATACATTTAAAAAAAAAAAAGGTGGAAAATTAAGGTGGTTAGTGGCTTGGTGTCTCTCCTAATTTCCTAATGCACTCACTAACTTTGGCAATCATTTCATACATAAATATTGCATGTGTTCATTGGTTTTATGGGCCCCAACTTTGCGATTAGTGGTTTTAGTCTTGTCTGCAATAACCTTACCAACTCACTCAATTATCAGTTAGGAAAGGCAAAAGGAACGATTACAACTACAAGCAACAACTGACTTCAAATGACAAACACACTAACGACCAACATCATAGTCAATCACCATTCACTCAGATACATCATACACCCAATAAGTTCGGAAAAAATAAAAATAGAAAATCTGAAATTTTTAGAAATTTCAACCCATTTATTAACAAAATTGCGGATTTGTATTAAAAGTGAACACTTTTATAATCGTTAGATTGACGAATTCACATTTTTCAAGTAGGTTTAGATTTGTCAGAAGTATTTGAATTTGTTCACGAAGATGCAAATTTAAAGATTAAAAAAATAAAAGTACCTAACCAAGAAACCCAATGTGGATAGAATTTGATCATCGATCTATTATTGAGTACATGCATTCATTTCCCCCTAGTCTTGATACAAAAGCGTGATTACCATCTTGATCAACAAAATTTGGATCAAAGTTAAACCAAAACTGAAATCAAAGTGTGAGATGAATGCAAAATTAGCAATACCTAGTCACACGAATTTTTACCAACACTCATACAACTTAATGTCAACGCGAAGACGAAAATAAACTTCACCCTCAAATGCATCAGTCTCCAAAGTAGCAACCCCTCTAGTCATGAAGAAGTCCCCAGTCCCGCCAATGATCGAAATGTCCCTAGTCTTGTTCATCAATGGGTCTGCCCCGGCAAAGTTGATGCTTCCTCTGTGCTGGGTCGAGTTGAAGACAAAGGAGAAGCCAAGCCATGCAGTGAAGATGTCTTTCCTGTCATAAATATAGAAGCCTTGGGCACGACCAACTGGGGCAGAGTGCAAATTGTTGTCCAAAGTAATTGGGTCGTCGAACACAACAAGGTTACCAAAATGGCTTTGCCCTGCCAAAATGGTCCTGTTCCCCCAAGGCGGTGAACCCACAATGGCTGCAGTGGCATTTTTGGAATTCTTGCCGTTGAAGATAATGTCGTGGAAATAAAAGGTTAGGTGTCTGCATGGGTGGTGAGGCGGAGGACGAGGCTTGATATGGGGTTTTGGGGTAGGGGAAGCCATGGTTGCATGGAGGAGGAAGGAGAGGAAGAGAGCTGAAACTAGACCCTTGTTTGGTTCCATATTGAGAAGCAATCAAGTGGTCAGTTTTGGTTGGAGGAGTGAATTGGGTTGGCATTCTCTAACCATATTATATAGGAGTTTGGAAATGTTGAATTATTAATTAATGATGATATCTAAAGAGGTATTGGATAAAGCTTGGCTTAAAAGGCATTCTATAGCTAGGTGACTAACCACAGAGAAAACTTAATCCTTTTGGACTATTGAAGGTTGATAGCTTTGGTTCTACGATTATTATCATGATTGGTGCACAGCTAGGGTTTTGGGACCAGTGGAAAAGGTTGTGCTCCAAACTCACAAAGCAACTTTTTCTTTAAAAAGCGTAGCTCCTTTCATGTCATACGCGTGTATAAACTTTTCTTCTTGTAATTTTAAAAAATTACTTTTGTTGTATGTGTCGGTTTGAAATTGATCTCCAAGGCAACTCCTTATTTGTAAGAAGCCAAACATTCTCATTTTTTCTTTAGCCATGAGACCAACATTTGTTGTCTTTTTCCGTTTACAGGCAACAAATTTGGAGGTTGAAATCACCAACTCCATGCCAAACCAACCAAACACTAGAATGAGATTAATATCCCACATGATGAAATTTTCTAGCTTATATCCGAGTCTTTTCGATCGGTTTGTCTCCTCTCTATTTTGATGTCTAACTAACTCCAATTATATCTAACCTTTTCCCAAACAATAATAAGTCCACATGACCAGATCCACCAACCTGGCTACTTAACCTCGGTCGTAAACCTGCAAGCTAGCTGGAGGAAACAAAAGCTACTTAACCTCAGTCATTGCGGTAAACATGCTATCTATTTCAATTTTTTTTCTAGGAGAGAGAGAGAGAACCACAGGGAAACAAGCCGAAAAACAATATGTTAGCCCCTTAATGGAATTATACACTGTTCAACAATAAAATATATCAATGAGGATGGCTTTTATAATATTTGTGTAAAATTTTCTGAAAATACCTGTAGGATGTCTAAAAATGCCTAGAGGGGGGTGAATAGGCCAATTTAATATTATAATCAATAAACAAAAATTAAACTTTGATAGCAGGATTGATATGGCTTATCAATCCTGAAATGTGCTGGACATGAAATAAAAGAACACGCAGAGAATTATTTTACGTGGTAAAACCCCACCTCTGGGGAAAATCCACGGGACTCCTTAGTCCAACACAAATCCACTATAGAACGATGATTACAAGAAGTACTCACACACTTATCCTAGATACATTCTAGATAATGTTTACCGACTTCTTCGTAACTCAACTTCTGTCATGGGATGATCTTCGACACTCCTTATGTTGAACGCAATACTGGTCACGATTGCTTCAAGCTCTCCGGAGGAAAACCACCACCACGGTCTTGGTGCCCTCAACCATATGAGTCACCGACATGCATATGTATGCAATATGAATGATGAATAAATTCGATAAGTCACCAAGCAACAAAGGAGCACTTGATGAATTTCTAAAGAAAAATAAGCACGACAGGCTTTTTGTCAAAAGATTCAATATGCTCAAAGATGTAATTGCAAATAAAAAACCTGCCTGTTATTTGGTATGGTTTTAGGTTGAATAACTCAAAGGGTTATTGCGTCTTGGATTGTGTTTGGGCCTAAATCCCGCGCACCAGGACAATTGGGCAAAGGCCCATATCAAAGGAAGAGCCTGCTGGGCTTTGTTTCAAAAAAAAAAAAAGGCAAAGATCAGGCCAGATGCTTAAAAGTGCAAAAAATCAGCCCAAGCGATTCTAGAAAGCCCAGACCTTTGAGGACAAATTAAACATAAATGGGCTCAGTTTCAAGAATCGCCACCGTTGATCTAACCAAATCCAAAAGGCAGATATTATGAAAAATATCTCTTCCAAAGAAAGACCCGTGTGATGGAGAAGGTCAAAAATCTCAACTAGGAAGTGATGGGGAGTTAATGAAAGCAGGTTAACCAGAAGAACACTCCCCATAAGCCATTCAGAATAAACAGAAGGAAAGGACAGTCAAAGTTGCCCTTCTACACTCACAGAGGGCTCTACTTTGAAACAAATTGAAATAGGATGTGTTTTTCAAGAAATAGAGCAGGAGACAGGAGAGTTGTTCGCCAAGAAAGCTGGGAAAAGACCACCATAGAGTCTGACTATTGATGGTTCCAGCTTTGCCAAAACATTAAATGCCTTCTTTTGGGGACATTAGAGATAAAGAAAATCCTTTCAAAGATCTGCCGCCCAGTTTTAAAAGTTTTAAAAATAAAAGAAACTCTCACTGCTTAGTTCTCTATAAATATGAGAAGAGTTGAACAGGCTGAAGACAGCCAAAAAATCAATCAAGACAAAACTCTCAGACTATATTGACAAATTCGAAAGAACAAAGTCATTCAAATCTCAAAAGCCTTCAGACTCTAAAGCAATCAAATCAAACAACTAGAACTTGGTTCATTCCAATTCAAGAGAAACATTTTCACAAACGAAACAAGACTTTTCTTGTTACAAATTTGGTTCAGCATAAGCCAAATCAAGCAGAATTCGAGTTTTCATAATATGAAAACCTCAACAAATTGACAGGAACTTTCCAAGTTCTCAGAATTGCTAGAATAGCTTTTGGTTGAGTCACAATCAAGCAAAACAGGTACTGTGGTGCAGCTCCAGGCCAGCAATCATCAATCCAGTCACCTTCAGTTCAACTCAGGCTGAAGTAATATCATTTCTGCCCAGCCAGCCAGCCTCTTCATGGCCAGAACAGATTAAAGCTCTGCTAATTTAACATTGGTATTGATTTCCAACTGAACCTCATCGGTTGAAGATACTGACGTGCAATCCCAGTATAAATGAATCCAGTCCAGCCCGGTTCACCAAAACAGACAGAAGTCAAAGTCCAGTGTTCTGCCTTTCCAGACTTGGCAGCTTTTCTCTGTTCTAATTTTGCTTAGTAGTTAGTTTATGTTTATTATTCCAAACAGTTTGAACTCTTTTTTCGGCTTTTATTTTGGCTAGAACTGCTAGTTTTTGTACTGTGAAGAATTGTGAAGTCCTCACCGGTCTGAGGCAAAAAAAAGAACTTACTTGGGAGATATTTCTCACCCAAATTCACAATTGCTTGTTTAGAATAAGTAACTTGGGGCGCAAGTTATCTATTTTTTCGAAGTCTGCTAGGGTTCTAAACCGCTAGCAGTGGCACGCTCATACACAAAAAGAAAGTTGACTTGTTGACCATAAATGATTTTCGAGCCAATGGAGAACTTTACCCTACCATCACAGGATCAGATAAAAAACGATTGAACATATCGTGTTACATTTTATTTATGCGATGTTTGTGTTACACGATGGTGTTATTTTATATGATAACACAAAATAGAGATGACCCATTTTGGTTGACATGACCCTTCATTTTATTATCATCATTGTTATTACTATTTATTTAATATTGCTTGTGCACTTGCGGGGCTAAAGCAGTTTGAGACGACCCTTGAGTTCAATGGGTGCAAATATGACCCTGAGGCAAAACAAACGGTCTTTAACATTTTCATGTAAATTGGGAGGAGGCCCAAATTTGATTAACGAGCTTAAATTGAAAGGGTTTGGAATGCTTGAAAAGTTGACAAAATGTGTCGGTTTTATATTAATTTAAAGAGTAAATCATCGTACACGTCCCCAAACTAGGATCCCAATCGGACTTAACTCCTCAAATTAGAATTCCAATCGAACTTAACTCTCTCGAATTAAAAAGTCAGCTAATTTAACACCCGAATTAATTAAAATGACCAATTTAGCCATTGCCGTTAAGTTTTGTAAATTTCTATCTAATTTTCCGTTAATTATAAAGGTAAACTTGTAATTTCGAGTAAAATAAGAAAAATAGAATAGCATTTTTAAAAATTCAGCCCCATCCATCACCCATCTCTCTCTCTCTCTCTCTCTCTAAATTGTTGAGTCGGTGTTTGGTTGAAGAAGCTCCAACAATCAGCGGCAATGGAGTAAGTCTCTGCGACGGAGCTAGATTGAAGCTTTGTCTGTAACATATACCTTCTCCGCTGCCTCCCCATACCCTCCAAAATTTTCAATATGGCAGAGCCAAAATGCAAACTGAACCACACAAATGAAAATTAAAATGAACCCAAATTTTCCACCCCTTTGTATTCTCTGCAGACCTGGTTTGTTCAATGAAATTTCTCCAGGTTTCGAACAAAAACAAAATAGGAAAAAGATAACATAAAAAAAACCCAACCTCTATCAGCCACCCGAACAATCCACCAGTTTAAATCGTACCCACTACATTGCAAAAGGTTTAGAGGAGAGAGAGATACATGAGGCAGAGCCTGGCCGGCTGCGAGGAAGAGAGGTGATTGGGGTGGTGTGCTAGGGGAGGCGTTGGGCGGTGATGCAGGATTGGTTCTGGAGGTGTGGTGTTGGCCGGTGACTGTATTTTTTAAAATTACAAATTGAATTAAGCGAATAGGAATTGGAGGATGTTGTTGCTGTTGTGGTTGTTCAGGTTTGGGGTGAGCAGGAAGAAGATGGGTTTGAGTTTTGTAGTGGAGGAATTGGAAGAAACCCTAGAAATCCGAAAAAGAAAGAGAGAGAGAGAGAGAGAGATGGGTGGTGGTGGGTGGGTAGGGATTTTTTTCTTCAGTTTTTTTCATTTTTTTAATTATCCAAATATTTAGTTTTAATAATTTAATTTAAAAAAAATCAAAACATTAAGTAATGTGCTTTTTAGACGGAAAAGTGGATGGAATTAGAACAATTTAACGGTAAGGGGTAAATTGGCTGTTTTAATACATTAAAGTGCTGAAAATCCTAATTTAAATGATTATTTTCCTATCTTTACTAGAAGAAATTATAACCAGTTGGCATTGCTTATTGGTACTACGATCCAATAAAATTTGGACATGTGTACAACTTATACATTTCAACTAAACAGTCGTTAGCATCAACGTTAACCAAACAGACAGGTTATCTGACCGGAAAAAAAAAACCAGAGAGATTACCAACATTAAGACTCTGATGGCCTTGCCAAAAGCTTGAAGTCATCCGACGGTGGCTTTAGATCGTAATTGCTTAAGTGCTTCGGTCTTAGATCGACAAATTTGTGTGCAATTTTATTATTTGCTTTGGGTCATAACCCCAAACAAATAAGCTCCAGGCACTGATTCATGGCCAGTGGGAGGCACAAGGGGTTAGTTGGGTACCTCGCCACCAACAAGCCGTCAATTTTCATGGGAAATATGCAATCGCAAGATTTAATTGCAGCCAACACCATTGTTGTTTTTTAATTTGTCAGCCACCGCTCATGGGAGAATACGGAAAAAAATATTAGTGAGAGCTTATCGGAAATGATGGCGGAGGCCGACGGAACCTATCCTAACCTTTTGAATTGAGGCCCAAAATCGATAAGGAATAGGGCAAGTGACTTGATACACTCCCAAGTCTGCGATGGTTTTTTCTTTTTCTTTTTGGCGGTGAGTCTGCAATGGGCAACGACGAGTTTGGGCATCGGTTAAAGCCACCATAGGGACGTCGTCACTCTCAGGTGGCGCAGCCCCAGAGAAAGTAGTAGTGTCGAGTATTTCTGGTTTGCAACAATGGTGGTTAACGGGTGTTTTTTTTTGTTGTTTTTTTTTTCCAGTGGTTACGGGGTGTTAACGGCAGTACATTAAGTTGGTTGCTGATGTGTGAGTCGTACACAAGTCCGAATTTTATTGGACCGTAGTATCAATCAGTCCTTTACTAGGATTTAGTTTACTTTTCTCTTGTCAATTAGGTTTCCCTTTTATTATAGGGTTTGATGGCTATATAAGCCTAGCTAGTTAAGAGTTGTGAGAAGGCGTCTTTTATCAATCTAATTCAGAAGTTACATATTATAGAGTTTCTTTGCCCTAGAAGAACTCAGTTATCTTGGTTCCGACTTCTATTCTATTGCCCTAGAACTCAAACTCTGTTTCGTCCTGATCCTGAATCGCTATGGAGTCGTTTTCCTGTAACATTGCAACGAAAGTGCTGGAAAGGCTTGCTTCCCGTGCGCACAAAGAAATTCACTTGTCGAAAGATGTCAAAGGCGAGCTAAACAAGTTCCATGAAACCTTATCAACCATCACAAAGCTGCTCCAGTATGCAGAGGAAAACCAGAGGGCGAATCCCCTTCTGCTCGCTGACTGTTTCAGAAAGCTCCAAGATGTTTGCTATGACATGGATGATATTCTAGACGAATACGAATACAATAAGTTGCGGATGCAAGTGCTCAAACCTAGAGGTAGCGTGAAAGAAAAGGTACACAACTTGTTTTCAATTCCAAATTCTGTCATGTCAAGCTACAAAATGAGTCACAGAATCAAAAATATGAGAAAAAGGTTGGGTGAGATTGCAGCCTCAAATCTGTCTGAACGAGCTGCAGATTGGCATGGCATGCACATGGAGAGGAAGACTAGCTCTTTCGTGCACTCCACAGATGTGATTGGGAGAGATAACGATAAAAACAAGATGCTCAACCATCTTCTTAAGGACACTTACACTGGTGAAGGTGATGATGAGGAGGAGAATGTTTCCATTATTTCCATTAATGGATTAGGAGGCTTGGGAAAGACCACGCTCGCTGAATTAGCGTACAATGATGATAGGGTTGTAGCAAATTTTAATTTGAGAATTTGGATTTGTGTCTCAGATAATTTTGACAGTAAAAGATTGCTTCGAAAAATTGTCAGCGCTGCAACTAAAGAAACATGTGAGGATGCAGGCATTGAAGAGATGCAAATGAAGCTGCAGCATGCTTTGAAAAACAAGAAACTCTTGCTGGTGTTGGATGATGTTTGGGACAAGGGGCCAATGGGAATTACAATTGAAAAATGGCTTGATTTCAAGTCATTCCTGAACTTTGCAGCCAATGGGAGTAAAATTATTGTGACAACAAGAACCGAATTTGTTTCTTTGCTCATGGAGCCTGCACACGTGCATCTGTTGGAATGCCTTCCCCACTCAGACTGTATGACCATATTCAAAAAATTGGCATTCACAAAAAGAGAAGAGGGAAACCATCCCAAGTTGATGGAAATTGGGGAAGATATTGTGAAGAAGTGTGGAGGGGTTCCTCTTGCCGTGCAAACCGTAGCGTTCCTGCTCAGATTGGACAAGAATGTGCGTTATTGGTCACGTGTTAGAGACAATGACATATGGAAATTAAAACAGGGAAGCAGGAGCATTTTACCTGCACTCAAGCTAAGCTACAATGCATTGCCGGTCTACTTGAAACCTTGTTTTGCCTTTTGTTCACTTTTTCCAAAGGACTACATATTTAGAAGCGAAGACCTGATCCCTTTGTGGATGGCTCAAGGCTTCATTCAATCATGCGAAGAACAAGGAAACCAAGAACTTGAAGATATTGGTCTGCACTATATAAGGCAACTATCTTCTAGGTATTTGTTCCAGATAGTGGAAGATGATTTCCCTTTTATAGGGTTTAAAATGCACGATCTAGTTCATGATTTAGCCATCTCAGTGGCAAAGGTAGAATACTCATCTATGAATTTTCGTCCCTCTTATTCTTCTAAGATGGTTCGACATGTGTCAATATCTCAGAATGAATTGTCCAAGGAAAAGAAAGAAGACATTGAATCCTTACTTGGTTTTGAGAAATTGAGAACCATTCTCATTCCAAATTTGGACACTGAATTTGTTCCTACAGAAGTTGGGGTCAACAGCCTATTGTTTCTACAGAGATGTATCCGAAGGCTCAACTTCGTACGGGCGCTAGATCTTAGTAATTTGGCGCTTAAGATGCTGCCAAGTTCCATCGCCGACTTGTGGCACTTGAGATATCTCGACTTGTCGTTTAATCGGCATCTAAGTAAGCTTCCTGATTCCATTTGCAAGTTGCATCATTTGCAATCCTTGGTGCTTGCATATTGTGAAAATATCCAGGAGTTGCCCAAGGACATGGGAAACCTGATCAACCTCAGGTACTTGGTCTTAACCTTAAACCAGATGCATTTGCCAGAAGTAATTGGATGTCTCACCTCCCTTCAAACTTTATTTGTGATTTCGTGCAACAATCTTAAATATTTGGGCGAAGGGATTGGATCACTAACTAATCTTCGAACACTGGTTATTTCGGAATGCAAAAACTTAGAGTCCTTGCCAACTTGTAACATGACCGCATTGGAAACTTTGGATATCAGTGATTGCCCAAAGCTAGATCTGATGGGGTCAGGAGAAGGCATTCGAGGTCTTGGATATTTTGGGATTGAAAATTCGAGTTTGAAGGTCTTACCCCATTGGCTGCAAGAGTCTGCAAACACTCTACAAGGGTTACGTTTGGACGGTACCTTTCTCCAATTACTTCCAGACTGGTTCGAAAACTTCACCATGCTCGAAAAATTGAGGATTATAGACTGTCCGGATTTGGGTGCTTTTCCTGAGGGCATGCACCGCCTCAAAGCACTAAGAGAGTTGGAGATTAGCAGCGACCCTTTAGCTGAAAGATGCAGAAGGGAAGAAGGTGAGGATTGGTCCAAGATCGCTCATGTCCCAAAGATCATTCTTTATGGTCGTATCATATAATCAACTGCTAATTAGGTTGGCAAAGTTCCTCGCATCAAAGCTGTTGTAAGTAATCATTTTACTTCTACAGTTCTTTAATTTATTATAGATTATATGGGCAGATGGCTTATGTTTTTCGGTCTGCATGTTCTGTTTGCGTCTGTCACAGATCATGGTAGATACCAAGAAACACTTACTTGCCCACTCACTCTATCAAAATGCTGATGTCTATTTTTTGGATGACCCGTTCAACGCAGTTGATGCCCTTACTGCAACCAGCCTATTTAATGTAATTCATAATTTGCCTCTCAAACTTGTAATGGTATTCTCTCTTTTCTCTAGTGAAAGCTAATATGAAAGTTATTCAGGAATATATCATAGGAGCTCTGTCCGAGAAGACAGTTTCGCTTCTATATATTTTGTGATAATTTATCAGGTAATGTAAATTGGAAGTGGATTCCATTTTGTTCTCCGTGGTTGTTTTGAAGTGTGAATGTCTTGATACTTGGGTGGCGTTCGGTAATGTTTCCAAGGAGCGTTTTCCGTTTTCCGGAAATGAAAATGGCCAAATATGCATTCGGTGGTTTAAATTAGAAAACGCAGAAAACAAATGTTGAAAATGATTTCAACTTTTCTTCTTTTAGTTAGAAATTGTTTTCTCCATTTTCTTAAGGGAAAGTGAAAACATGGAAAATGGTAGAAATACGGAGCCTTCCTCTATCTCTCTTCGCCTCCACTCCCAAACTCAGACCCAGTCTAAGAACCCATTCCTCGTTGTTGCCACCGTGAAGAGGAAACTCACAATCATATCAAGTCTTTCTTCTATCATTTCAGATCTATGCTCCATGGCAACTTCAAAGGGGGATAAGAGAGAGATTGGGAGGGAGAGAGAGAGAGAGAGAGAATGAGAAAGAACCAGAGAGGAAGATGTCTACAAATTTTCTCTTTTACATTATTATAAATATAAATAAACTTTTGCTATATATTTTTTTTCCACACCATGTGGAACGATCTCTAATTGATAGTTCAGAAATGATTTTTTAAAGTTAAAATATCATCATTATATATCAAAGGAATAATGATTTTTTTTCTTCCTAAACTCATACAATAACACGCTGCCATTTGGCAATGTGATGTGTCCCAACCAATCATATAATTCCATATGTCAATTCTATTTTCATTTTCTTATTTTCCAACTTCGAAAATTCACAAAACATACTTTCGAGTTCCGAAAAATACTACACACTCGTATCGACGGCTAGTAAAATACTACACACTCGTATCGAAGTGTGTAGGCATCGTCCACTTTTTCGAAGTGTGTAGGTATCGAAGTGTGTAGACAAACTTAGGTATATTACTAAAGCTCCCAAACCTATCATCTAACAACCCCTATTCATTTGGCCTTGACAGCTATTTAGGCATCGTCCACTTTTTCATTACCAGGCGTTCCAGCAAGCCAGCCCCAGACGCCGCCTGAGCTCTGCCTTTTAGCATTCAAAGCTGCTTGTTCGGATGCAGCCTTTTGTCGCTGGAGTAGTTCAAGTTCTTTCTGCAATGCCTCCATTGTTTGCAGCTTCTGTCGAAGTTCTGCAAGTTCAACCTGCAGGTTCAAAGAGTAATTAGCAGAAAACCCAGATTATGACCAATGTTTCGAGGCAGCCTGATCGTATCACAATCAGGCTGCTCGCTAAGGTCAGCTTAGGGTAGTAATGTGAAAACTACTCAATAATTATTTTAATAATGGCAATTTAATCCAAGCTTTGGAATACAAGTTGAATGCATGGTTTTGGTTCATGGTCAAGAATTGAACAGTAACCCTAAAAAATTTTGAAACCCAATTACTTCATCAATTGACCAAGAAAACTGAAATCAGAACACGTTTTTGGAAGCTCATAAAATTCTATTTCAGGACAAATTTAATGAATTTGTTTTTACATCAGCGATGGGTGAAAATGATGTTCACTTGACCGTAATTACAAGTAACTTGACTATAGTAATCACTAGAAGGGCATAAAACTCTTTCTTTGACCAGGTCTTTACTTTGGATCATTCAACCAATTGTAGGAGGTTCCCAAGCCAAAAAGACAAGTACTCTATCAGGTTTCTTGCCAGAGCCAATAGCGGCTTTAACCCACTCAACAACCGCAGTAAAGATGGTTTTCCTAGGATTAAAAGGAAAATCCACTGCAATGTTAAAAATCTGCTTGTTACGCCAATTCCAGATATACCAACAAGTAATGGCAAAAACAATATTCCAACCAATACCATCAGGTCCATTAACCTTAGAGAGCAAGTTGCCTAGGAACCAAGGTTTTAGCTCAGATAGGAAGAAGTGAGGAGAGGAATGTAAATTAACAACAGAATTCCATACCATCTTAGCCCTGGGACAGTCCCTAAGAATATGAATAACGGATTCAGTTTGCCAACCACACAAATGACAAGAAGGATCAGAATTTAGATTCCTCTTGGTTCTTTGCTCATTGGACAAGATTTTACCTTGATAAGCCAACCAAATGAATATGTGAATTTTGGGAGGGATTTTCATTCTCCACAAGTCATTCCAAAAGGGATCAACATCTCCCAATTCTCTAAAAAAAATAGAGTATGCAGATTTAACAGAGAATAAGCCATTTGAAGACATACCCCAGATTTGAGCATCATGTACAGAGTTCCCAAACCCAACAGGGACAGCAGTGATCTTTTGAACCAAATCTTCAGAAAGAGCATTCCTCAGCTGGTCCACATTCCACCAACCATTCCTAAAAAAGTTGTCAACGTTGCAATTCAAATCTTGGATATTCAACACCCCATTATGTTGCATTAGAGGTGTATCAAATAGCCATTTATCTGTCCAAAATTTGGCCAAATCACCCTTTCCAACCCTCCAGATCATTCCCTTTGCCAGCAGCTCAGCTCCAAAAAGAATACTGTTCCAAGTTGAGGAGCACAAATTTCTTGTTTTCAAATTAGGATCAATAATAGAATGACCCTTGAGGTATTTCTTTTCAAAAATCTGAGCCCATAAGCCATTATCTTTGTTGTGCATCCTCCAACCGATTTTAGCCAACAAAGCTTGATTCATGTCCCTAGCCTTCTTGAAACCCAAACCACCTTTGTTTTTAGGTCTACACAGTAGATTCCATTGGCAGAGGTGGACTTTCATCTTCCTATCACTTCCTCCCCCGAAGAAGTTCCTATTTAACCTGTCCAAATCTTCACAAATACTAACAGGCAATTTTTTGGTCTGCATAGAATATATGGGAATAACAGATGTGACAGCATGGATTAGAGTGGCCCTCCCAGCTGAAGAAAGCAACTTACTTTTCCAATTGGCAAGCCTGCAATGAACCTTACTAAGCAAACTGCTGTAAGTGGATCGAGTTACCCTAGAGTGCAAGATGGGCATCCCCAAGTATTTTCCTAGGTTGTCTGTTGAAGGGGAGCCACAAATGAAACTGATCTCTTGAGCCAACGCCCTGCTGGTATTAGGAGAACAAAATACAGCAGACTTGTCAAAGTTGACAATTTGACCAGAGGCTTGACAAAATAAATCCAAGCATCCTTTCATCACCCTAGCTTGTTGCTTACTAGCTTCAGCGAAAAGGATTAAGTCATCAGCAAAAAACAAATGCGATACAGCAGGCCCAGTTTGGGAGGATTTAACAGGTTTCCATTTCCCCTTATTGATAGCATCAAAGATGATATGAGATAGCTTTTCTATGCAAACCACAAAGAGGTAGGGAGATAGGGGATCTCCTTGTCGAATACCATTCTTTGGAATAAAAGGTTGGGAAAGCTCGCCGTTAACACAAACTTGATATTTGACAGAAGAAACACAACTCATAACCAGCTGGATGAAATTACTGGGCAAGCCTATTTCACCAAGGACCTTTTCAATAAACTTCCAATTTAATCTATCATAGGCTTTAGATAGATCAATTTTCCAGGCAATGAAGCCCTTCTTACCCTTAGAACATTTGAACTTATGCATCAATTCCTGAGCAATGAGGATGTTATCTGTGATTTGTCTTCCAGAGATGAAACTAACCTGATTAGGACTGATGATTTTAGGCAGCATAGGCCTTAATCGAGCAACCAGTAATTTAGAAATTACCTTATAAAGAGTGCAACAAAGACTGATGGGTCTGAACTGCACCATGGATTGGGGGTTCTCAACCTTGGGGATCAGAGTGATTAGGGTATCATTGAGTTGCTCAGGGACAGAACATTCATGAAAAGCCGTACGAACCATGGCGAAGATGTCATCAGCACAGAGATCCCAATTCTTCTGATAAAAGGAGGCAGGGAACCCATCCACACCTGGTGCCTTAAGCCCTCCAATTTTAAACAAACTCTCCTTGACTTCAACCAGCTCAACACTCTTAACCAGGTAGTTCAAATCAGCCTCCTGAACAGAAGGATAAAGGTTGGGTATATCTTGAGTGGAGTCAAGAGAAACAGATTGTGAAAACAGAGCTGAAAAATAAGTGATTGCCAGCTCTTTAAGACCATCAGCATCTTCCACCCATACCCCATCACAATTCTTCAGTCTCTCAATCTTATTGCGCCTTCGCCTAATAATTGTAGTCATATGAAAAAATTTGGTATTTCTATCCCCTTCTTGCAACCATTTCAATCTAGACTTTTGTTGCCAGAATAAAGCTTCTTGATCAAGAATGCCATTGTACTCCCCAATCAGAACATCTTCAAGATTGCTCAAATCCAAATTTGGCCCTATACACAAAGCTTTCTGTATTCCAGCCAGCCTGGCTAAAATGATAGCTTTCTTCTGTCGAAGATGCCCAAAAACAGTAGTATTCCATTGTTTCAGAGGCTCAATTAAACAGCAAGATTTCTTCAACGCATCACCAGTTGCTTGCTCCCACCGTTGAGTGATAAACTCCTTGAACTCATCATGTTTCAACCACATTGCTTCAAATCTGAAGGGCCTATTAGTAGGAGAAGTAGTAAGACTGGACTTCAAACAAATTTTTATGGGGCTATGATCAGATTTGGTTCTTGGCAGATGTATCACATTAGCTTCAGCAAACAGCCCCCTCCACTGCAAGTTACATATTGCTCTATCAAGCCTTTCAAGAACTCTTTTATTTGTCCAAGTAAATTTAGGCCCAGAGTAGCCTAAATCCACCATATTGTGAGCATCAAACCAATTTCGAAAACCCCTCAGCCTAGAAACCTG